CGTGGGACAGGGGGGCAGCGCGGTGACCTTCTGCAGCTCCTCCCAGCGCCTTTGTCATGGGTCATCATCAGACAAAACTGGAGCATCCTCTTGCCGGCTGTAACTGTGAATGAGGATTAAGGGTATGTATAGAAACGGAGGATGACGGGAGGATGCGTTTGCAGGGCAGGGCCTGGGCAGCTGATGGTTTTATTACAGATGACTCCATAAAAAATCATCCTCCCAAGGAAAGGCGTGACATTCTTTGGGAAGAAGGCCAGAAGTGTCACAGCAGGCCTGGCCACAATACCAACATTACTTCTCAGAAGGAGAAGTACTGTATTACACAGCACCACCACATTTTCCACATGCCCAGGAAACCCTTGCTCCACAAGCTGGGCGCTAAGTCCAACCCTGCTACAAGCACAGAAGCTGCTGCTTGTGGCCAGCCTCAAGCTGGTCAGGACATCCCTCCAGGCCCAGCAGAAGCTCAGTTTTGACCTTATCTCCCAAATGCTGATTGAGGTTTTGCCAAAGCCCTGCTCCCTCCAGAAAGCCTGGAAGCTGGCCTTATTGAAGTTCTGGTCCCTCACTACCACAGGTGTGTCAAAGCCCAAGAGGTGCCTCAAAGCACCATCTAATCACTGGAGCTTTAAAACAAGCAACTCATTATGTGACTCCTACTTTCCTACATGGATACATCTTATGCCTCCCCTGTTCTCCCTTTATGCATTGTGGTAACCCTTGTCTCTCACATGCATTTTATAAGACTTCTCCAGCTTTTTTAGAGCAGTCTTATAAGACACCAACACCAGCCACAATGACTGCAGCTACATCCACGAGAAGCTCCTGAACCCCACTGCTTATTTCAGGGGGAAAAACCCCAAACATCAAACAAACACCAAGCCACTCACAGCATAAAGCAAACCCCTCACCTCCTTTTTGCTCTGGAGTCAGTAAAAACACTCAGGTTTTTGCCCTGAGGTCCTATTTAAGCTCTTCAACTGTGATGGGGAGGGGGAAGCTGTTGGCTGATTCCTAGCATCTGGGAGCCATTTGACCCCAGAGCAGGCTCAGCTGCTCTCTAATCCTTAAAGGACCCAACACACACTGACAGCCTCCAGCTGTTCCCTGCAACTGTCACCATCTACGTCTTTTCAGCCTCCTGCAATATTCTCCCACCTAGTCCCTGAACAATCCTTTTCCTTGTCCCCATAGCTAAGCCTTCCCTCCCATATTGAGTTTTGGGCTGCCCACTAATACAAGAAAGACATTGAAAAACCGGAGAAAGTTCAGTGGAGAGCCACCAAGAGAGCTGGGGGCTGAACCAAGGTGGCTTTGTTCAACCTGGTGAGAAGAAGGCTTCAGGAGGACATAAGAGTAGCCTGCCAGTTAACAAGCAGGAGCCAGCCTCCTTGCAGTGGTTGATGCCTTGGAGATGAGGTGGTTGAAAGAAAAGAGATTGAAACTGGATACAAGGAAAAATTGTTTTACCATGATGACATTCATGGGACAGGTAGCCCAAGGAGATCATACTTTCTCTGCTCTTGGAGATTTTCAGTGCTGGACTGGATAAAGCCCTGACCAGCTTGATAGAACCTCAGAACTGACCCTGCTGTGAGCAGGAGGTTGGACCAAAGTCCCTTCCAACCCGATCCAGAATGCCTTCTCCTGTAGAAAAGAGGGTGAACCAGAATGATCACCAAGTCCAGAGCTCCCTCCCCAGCCGGGCTGTGCGAACGCTGCAGTCAGCACCACCACCCTAGGATCATCCCATGGCAGCTAGAAAAGCCTTGTCAAACGCTGTGAATGTCAAGGCAAAAAAAGTAGGACAAAGGACTCAACTGAGTTTCGACAGTGACACGTGCCTGTGCTGGGGGAGGAGGAGGAGGCGATGGAGCACACAAGCTAAATGGGCCAAGAGCCTGGACACAGTAATGTATCAGCTGCACCACCAGCAGAGAGATGCTGTGAGATGGAAATACATCCTTCCCCTCCGCCATGTGCATAGCCCAGTCAGGTGTGTGCTCAGCTGTGAGCAATGTCTTCCTTTCAATAAGAGCAACCATGCACAAATTTAATTCTTCCATTATTTTAACTGCCAAAGGGACTGAACGAGATGTGGGGAGCACAGGGACCCCATTCTGCTGCAAGGTGCACGTCTTGGCAATGGCCGAGATGCTGGGGCAGCTCCCAGCCCAGCCTCTGCCTTTTCCTCCCCAGGGAGAGAAAAAGCTGTGAAGATGCTCATGTTATCTAATAGAAGAGATCTCAAATCTCTCATGACTCACTCACCTTTCAAAGCTGTCAGAATAAATCTCCAAAACTCAACATGCCTTAAAAGGTGGAGGAAGTGAGTCAAAGGAGAAGTAGTTACACTACTCTCCAACAGCTCAGCACCCAACTTGTACTGGTACCTGGAGTTATTCTTGCCCAGATGCAAGACTCTACACTTGCCCTTGTTAAATTGCATTAAATTTTTTCCTGCCCAAAACCCTGGTTTCGGGTTTGGTACGTGTGCAGGAAGGAGCCAGGCACAGCCGGGAGGTCAGGCTGGACAGCCTGTGGCTGCACCCAGAGCACAGCGCTCTGAAACCCAGAGCGAATGGACCCAGCACCAGCAGAGCATCACTGCTGTCTCAGTTAGCCAGAGCCGTGTGCCCCCTCAGCTGGAAGGATGGACCGCAACAGAAGCTGTTCACTTGGGGTAGCGCGGCCTCTCTTGGCCTCTCCCAGGGAGGAAGTTTTGCGAAGTTTCCTTGACTGAGGGAAATAATTTTCTCAAAGGAGATGGATCCCATTCCCCACTTCCCCAGCACGGGTGGAGGAGAGGGTAGTTGGGTCTGTAGAGGTACAGAGGTGGTTTATTTGTTATTTCCACTCCAAGAGCAAAATACAGGATGGTTATCAAGTAGCGAACTCTTGCAGTTTCTGCTCTCTTGTGATCTCTCCTTGTTATCTCAGTCCCCAGATTCAAAAGGATTAGATACAGGAATATGCTGTGAGATTTCTGGAGTCACTGAGGGCCATCTCAGGAGTAAAGATGTCCCATACCCCCTCTCCCATTGAAATGTCACTTTCCATCTTAAAAAATGGCATTTTTTTGCTCCTGCGCTCTGAACATGGTGCTGGTCAGAGCCACACAATGTGACAGGATCGTCACAGGATAAGTCAGGTAGGAGAGGACATGCGGGGGTCCTCCTGCGCCAAGCAGGAGGATCGATGAAGAAGGTCCTCCCACTTTCCCAAGGTCCTTCATGACCACTTGTCCTCGTGCACGAAGTGCTTCTTTCTTCCCTTAATCTTATCCATGTTCTGGATGTCTTGCTTTTGAGTTTACTAACGTAACGTCTGGATTTCAAACCAAACAAGTGTACCTTCCCGGGCTATACAACCTGGGACACAGAGAGCATTAGTCTGCTTCCAAGAAGAGTGGCAGATTTTGCAAGAATCCAGTAAATTGGGATGGGAAAAATATCAGGATCAAAGACAGCTGGTCCAAGAGAAGCTCCAAACCAGCCAAGACAGAGTTCTGCCTTTGAGGTTCAACCGCTGGCTGGCTGCTGCCTGCACGCTACCTGTCAAGTTACCAATGACAAAGGATTTGCTGGAATTGGCATGGCAAATGTGAATTCTCAGAAGAGCAGCCTGCTTCAGGTGTGCTGAGCTCATTGCTAAAGCCTCTCTGTTTAGGCATTGCACCCCGATTGAGTTCAAAGCGTGGATTGTGGCACGATAGGCAACTGCTCAAACCCTGTCCAAACAAGGTCCAGAGGTTTCGATGCTGGCGCTTACAAAATGTGTTGACCCCTGAGGCTCCTGATAAAATCTAAAGCTTCCTTTGAAAGTAACCATTTAACATGAAGGCGCTGGTGTCCCCTTGATCTGCTGCCAATGTTTTAACAAGGGGATGCCACAAGTATTTCCCTGTGCGAAGTTTGCCCGGTGAATGGGGAGAGACTATAGAAGTCATTTTCTCATGTTTGCACAAAGTAGGTTTTTCCAGCCAGCATCAAGAAGAGAGAGGGCAGCAGTGTGAAAAGTAAAGAAATGAATAAAGTCTATGTGCATTAAAGATCGTAAATAAATATAAATACTTCTGCCTAGAAAATGAAGGTCTGTGTACAATTCAGGAGGAGTTTATCCTAGAGGTGGGGGGAGGAAGCCCACAGCTCTTCTCCTCCAGATAATTTTTTTTTTTTGTAATTATTGACACTTTATACAGTCTGGTACTCTTCTAAATATAATTTTATTAGCATGAGAAGACACTTGGCAGGAGGAAACTAATGCTGGTGAGTTCACAATTTTCAAGACAAAGCGTTCCCTTCAAAGGAAGAAGAAAGAGAATGATTTGGAAAGAAGAGCCTTGCAGCTTCTGCCTAAAACCAGCCTCCACCTGCCATCTTCTTGTTGCAGGCTTAAATGGAGCAATATTCCCCAGCCCCAGCTTGTTTGTCTCTGGTTTCCAAAGGAGATGAGGCATATACAGTCACGCTGTTCCCCAGCTCTCCTGTCACCCTCCCACAATAACCTCCGAGAGAGGAAGGAACATGTCTATGGAGGCTGGGGAAAGAAAAGGCACCCGCTGTCACCCACCCCCCGGCATGGGGAGGACTGGCCAGGAGCCCACAAGCAGTTGCGCTGCTTGGCTGCCCGGCAAGCGGGTGCCAATTTGTCAGGCAGGACAGGGAGAGAAGAGCTGTGGGTGCTGGGGACGGGAGGACACAGCCCCCAGAGCCGTGGGAATCACTGCTCCGGCACAGGGAGTGCCTTGCTCCTGGGAGGAGGGTGGTGTGACAGCACTGTGTAGCAAAGCCACGTGTTAGGCTCTAGTATGGCTGTACCAAAGCGCTTTTCTGGGTATTACAGAAAAAGGAATCCAGCCAAAGAATTGTGCTGAGTTTTATTTTATTGAGCAGAGACGGCGGAGGTGAGGGCAAGCTGCTCCCGTGTCCGCGCACGGGCGTCTGCGGCTGGTACCGGCGGGGGCTCGGCTGTTGCTGCTCGGTGACAGCGAGGACTCAACATTTCCCCAGGTGCTTCAACCTGATTTTCCCTCCACTTCTCCTGTAAAAGGAGCAAGGCAGACTTAGACAAAGCCGTGTATGACAGACACAGCAGTGTGGGACAAGGAGCTCATCTGTCCAAACAGGACCATTTGCCTGACCCATGCTAGTGTACCCTGGTGCCTCACAGAGTACATTGAGCCATTTCATCCTCTCCTTTCTCTTCTGTAATTTCCCCTAGGGTAAGGGAGCCTTGGGTGTGCACCAAACGTTAAGGACTGCCAAGGAGAAACCAATATTTTGCAAGTACATTCAGTCCAGGGCTGCTGGCTCCTATTGCATCTCCTTGTTCTCCCTCCGAGATTTTGTGTCGTGTTCCACAAAGTCCTTTCAGACTTTTCAGGAATAATTTGGCACGGCTCAGCTCTCGCATTCCTCTAGACACTTCGCAGTACTCAGAAGTGTGGGCAGTGAGAGTTGCAGCCTGTGGCATATAGTGGGAAATGTGCATCGATTCAGTGCGTGCAGAAGGTACAGGATGGATGCAATTGCCTCCCAAGCCCCGTGCTGCCTCTCAGCATGGCAACTACCAGTGTGCAAAGCCTAGCAATAAATTAAAACTAAATTGCATTCACACAGCTCCATTCCAAGGAGGAAATATTCCACTTGGCATGATTCAGGGGCTGGTCCATACAAGAGGAGCAGCCTGGATGCAGGGCCCCCACTCCGTGAAGAACATCATTATGTACATGGACATTGAGCCAACTCTGTTATTTCGACCCCCTCTGCCTTCACTTACAGCACTGCCTTGCAGAAGGCGCACTTGTTTCCGTACGTGATGCCATCGGTGCCGCAGTGAGGGTTGGACTCTCTTGTGCAGTGCACGTTTCTGTTTACAAACTCTCTACAAGCCTGCAAAAGGAATAATTAAAAAAACCCAACAAACCAAACCTTTCAGGACACCCACACTCCTTTTTTCACTTTCCAAATTGGGTATAAGGTCACTAATACAAGGCTTTTTCTGACAAGGGGACTAAAGCGTCAGTGGTGACACTGCCTACTTACTGAAAGAAGCAGCCCTGTGTGAAATGAGCAGCAGCAGTGTTTCAGGGGGATTTTTGCCCCATTTTTGTGGAGGGAAACTGTAGCCACCTGGGAGAAGTCTTGATCTCCCGAAGACACGAGTGGATTAGCCTAGGCATGTAGGAGAAGAGTCAGCACTGATGCTCTTTCAGGCATTTGGCACCAAGTTAGCTCTCTCCTGCATGGCTTCATACGTCTTGCGAAACTGTGTGCTCAGCTCGGTGCTTGCTGAGCTTTCTGCCTTCCCAGGGGCAGGAGGGGAAAACCATAGTCTACAGGGAATTAAAAATGGTGTCCAGGTAATGTACATGTATTTTGTCTCTGGTCAGGTCCCAATGATGGGGGAATAAAACACTCTCAAGAGTCCATTTGTTTCATGAGAAGATTGGACAGTGGAGCAAAACGGGTAAAATGGTGCTGCATACAAACACAACGCTGTGTAAGCACCCTGGTCCTAACCATGGGAAGCATTTGCTAAACCAGACGTCCATTTGCCTGGTCTACTTGCTAACGTGCCACACATTAGATCCCCTGTACAACAGAGAACTCCCCAAAGCGTTGGGACATCTTGGAAGGACCCACCTGCATCCAGCAGACATTAAAAACTGTTTACCATGCACCAGGATCTTGGTTACAAAACCATTCCTCTAGAAAATGCAGATTCAGTAAGCAGAAACAGCTGCACTAACCTCTTCAATGTCTTGACCTGCTACATCTGGAATAAAAAAAAAACAACAAAAAACCAAGGAGAATTCACACATCAGCATTGTTTTCTGATAAAGGCTGAACTAAAGTCACAAACCCTTTATGCAAACCACAGCGAAACATACACCAGGTTTTTCCTGCTCCGTCATCCTGTGCGGCAGAGGAGGGGGCAGGAAATACATTATCTGAATTGCTTTTCAGTATTTTGCTTTTTTGAAAAATGTTACTAAAATACCATGTAATCAGTCATTCAGCTGCTAACTGCACCTCAGACACATAACCCAATCTCCTGGAAGGCAGCCACTCCCGGGGAAGCGAGTTGCCATATCGGATCCGGAGCCACGCTCAACAGAGATTTTAAAGCTATATTGACTTTTAAGGCTTTCCGACTCCTACGCCTCTGAGCAACGAAAATGGCTGGTACTGCTAACAGGAGTGTACCGCAGAGAAAGGGACCCTGTAGTCAGTTTTACAGCCATCCCCAGCACGACACAACCCAGAGACTCTCCCAGAACAACCTCATCCCGGGTGAGATACAAAGAGACATCATGGGGTGATACAGAACAGCCAGTGCCAGTCAGTAAGAGCGCAAAAATACCCACTGTAACCACAGGCTCTGGGCTTGGAGATAATCAGTCCATCCTCCTTTTATTTCTCCACTGCAAAGGCTGCAGGCAGGCACGCAGGTTGAGTCATCGCTGCGGGACAGGGCGACCCTGCAAGGTCTCTAAGGGGGAGCCTGACGTGGATTGAATGCAGATTTGCAGAATCTGGGTCACATCACTGCGGGACACATACTCAGCATCTCTCCTGGCAGCAGGGCAGCAGAGGTTTGGATGCGAGGCCGGACCTGCCGGGTCGGGGGGTCCCTGCCAGCCGGGGTGCTGCTCGGGTGGCTCTGGGCAGGAGGGAACCTGGGGCAGGAGGTGGGAGGACCTTGTCCTACATGTGGGCCCCCACACATTTGAAATGCCACCCAGCCCTCAGTCAGCTAGACCCTCATCCATCAACCCACCCTATTTCTTCTGTCAGTTGTATCACCCTTCGGTGTTTTATCCCTGACACTGGTGTATGTCATGTCCTCAGGTCAGGCTCTGCTGCCTTAACTGTAAAGTCACTGCTACGGCTATCTGCATATTATTTACAAAACAGCTCATTAGATAGTTATTATAAATATTACATGCAGCTACACAAGACTTTGTGATGATATCTCTTGACATTTGTTTATTTTCTAGGAGATCACAGAGTTTGCTGCTATTCTGCCTGGCCTTGGAAGGAAGCTTCGGCACTCTGATGGAACCCAGTCCCAATTAAGACTCAATTAGAGACAGATGAATATTTCATAATGAATAATGTGTACAAACTAATTCACCTCTTTTCTCCATCCACAGCTTGCAATGTTCTCAAGTGAATTCTTTATTCAAATTATTCACAGAAAACCAAGCATAAATAATTCTTGTTCTGCACATTCTTCAGGAACTGTCACCACAAACCTTCCAGAGCTGGGTCGGCTGGACACAAGCAGTTGATAACACTGATGTGACCTACATGCTCAAAAATCATCACTCAGCTTCCCCGGATCATCAGAGAGATGTGAAAATCTCCAGATAAATAAATGCTGGATCCTTTTAATTTGCCCTCTTTGTTCTGCCTCCTTGAGGACATTGGAATTTAATTTTCAAGCTTTTCTCTGCAACATAAACGAAAGCTGAAACTTTCATCTAATTATGTTTCTCCAAGGAAAACACCAAATACCGAGATGCTTGGGATCAAAACAAGAGCTGATGACCCTGAGGTGAGTGAGTTTCTTCTCTAACTGGTTCAGCAAAACTCCGCAACGACCATTTGTACCAAAAAAATCCATAATTACACTCTGCTTTGGTACATTTGCTGAAAGAGCTGCTTAGAATTTGCTCGCTCTGTCTCCCAGTGACACCCCCGCTGCGTTATTCACTGCGGAGGCACACGAGGAGTGGAAATATGTCAGACGAGTGAGCAAGTCCCGCAGAGATCTTCTACTTGCTCAGCTTTATCTTCAAGCCTGTCATCTGCTGATCAAGGCTCGCCAAAGTTTGCTGTTGTCAGGATAGTTTAGGGTTTTTCTTTTTTTTTGCTAGGCTGGGGGGAAGATCACTTACCCGAGAAGAAGGAGAGCAGCAGCAGGCTGAGGAGCAGTACGGCGCCTGTTGCCTTCATGCTGCAGGTAGGAGCTCTTTAGTCCAAGCCAAGCGATCTGTGCGGGAGGTGTTGTCTCAGCATCAGAGCCCACAATGCGCGCACGGACCTGCCTTTCTGTGTATTTATGCCCCATCCGTACCTGTCCTCATTCCCCACCTTAATTGTGAGAACTTCTCCACTTCGTTTCTAAAGCCATTATTGGCCCCGGCTGTGTTTATGGTGTTTTAGGAATGCTGCCCTGTCCACATCAAACCTAGAAAGGGATAATTACATGAGTGATAGACTCGGGCTTGTAATATCTTTTTTTTTTTTTCTTTTTTTTTTTTTTTTTCTAAATAGTCACAGGATTCTCACAAGGGTGAATTTTCAAAGCGGTGATTCATCGGGGAAGCTGGTAATTTTCATTCTCTGGGCCCTCGCTGAATGCCAGCTCTAAGGCTTTGAGTGCGGCGTGATGACACTCACTAGACGTTACGAAATAAATCAAGCATGAGAATGTGTTGTCTGTGAAACCAATTATATGTTGTTCTCTGGCTATTTTTGAGGATGGTTCTAAATTTGTGGGGTTGGGGTGGAGGAGCGCTCGGATGTGACATGCTCTCAGAGCTGTGTGCACAGTCCCAGATAGGACTGCTGACTCTCCTCCCTGAACTATTTAAACTCTAGCTGTCAATGTTTCCCAGTTTTTCGCATCCACAAACATATGTTAGGGCTCCGCTCCCACAGCAATGAAGGGAAATTGATGGGGAATTGAGAGACTTGAGCTCTATTTCCAGCTGAGTCTGTGCAAGGATTTCTGTTCAGCTGCTCCCTTTGCAAAATATCTGTTCGGATAAGAAAAAGATTAAAATTTTAGTCTCCTAAGGAGACAAGGCTTAGGAGACCGATGTGTAATAGAACATATACAACATAATATATATCTGCTTATTAGTTTCCCCAGTAAATTTTGAATCTGCAACTAGTTCCAACCAAATTTGACATAGGAGTGAAAATTTAAAAAAAAAACAGAATATTTTTATGTTTTTCTTAGCAACAGAGGAAAGATGCTACTAATGTCCTCAGACAACAAGGGAGGGAGTTTCTGCAGGAGAGCAATGTTGTGAATGCCCTGTATCTGGAGAAGCGTTAGAGTTTGCAGTTGGCTAGACATCTTAAAATCCACACAGCAGAGAAACCTGTGACTGACAGGTGCATTCTCAGATGTCTATTAAGGGTGAGCTCACAACGCAGCCTCTCGTATAATTTAGCTATCAAGTCAGTCAGCCGCAGCGCCGTTCAAAATCGCACTTAGTTCTACCACTCGCAGCGCTACGTGTTTGCCTTTTCTTGTTTCATACGTCACTGCTCACGACCACAGCCTTAATGCCTCCATCCTTTATCTACCCGAACGTTTCGGTTGCTGCAGCGCAACTGGCTGGCTAAAACCTCAGCAAATGTACCGCAGGCACCAATCCCTTGTGGGCTGAGGAGAGGAAGAGACTAAATTACCAAGCAGGTGATTATCGTTATTACCCCTTTCCACCTCTTTACAGCATCTGAAACAGGCCACTTGCTGAGGGAATCCTTCTGTCTCTCTGACTTCTCTCAAAATCAGGGACAGGAGAAGGGTGCCTGGACCTGGCTTTGCAGTCTAAGGGGGGTAGCTGGGCAGTGTCAGCATGAGTATTTACCTGTGCTGGGCCAGTCTTTAGTTTATGTGATACAAACCTTTCCATCTTCTGAAGAGTTCTTCCTTAGAGGCTCACGAGGCATCTAGGATACAGCCATGTACCCGGTACTTGCCGTATTCCCTCCCTTTCCCTGTAGATGAGCAGCTCTTATTTGGGCTTTTCCCAAGCCTTCTGAGCTCCTAAGAAAGTATCTGGCTTCCTCAGACAGAAACTGCGAAGTACCACTGCAGAGGAGGCTCACCATAGGATCTCGCTGTGGAAGGGAATTTCCTGCTATGGCCAAAACTCCACTAGTATGTGGCCACTCTGTAAACCTCTTGGCCAACAATAAATTATAGCAGAGCTCTGTCCTGTGCTGACAAGTCTCCTTCACATCCACTAGTTACTTAGACTGTGCCTTAATTATTTTCCACACACACAAGCAGATATGCAGTGAGGACTCCCATGACTCTCCAGTTTGTCTTTTCTTAAGAACAGGCACAAAGGTATGATGTGATTTTTATTGCCTGTCCTAACAGAAAAAAACCTGAAAACAAGAAGTTCCATCCCTCTTCCTAGGACAGAGCATTGCTCCGTGCTAGTACTAGGGGAAGCAGAAGCCTCTCATTTTCTGGCGGGAAGCACCTATAAAATTCCTGGTCAAGAAATGATCTATTTCAGGAAACAAGACCCAAAGAAAAGGCTTGGAAGTCACAGATTTTGTCCTAAATATCAGCCTTATCAGCAGATATTCTTGCTACATAACAAGAGAATGGGAGGTGGAGAAGGGAAGAGGAAGGGAGCGTGTGAGCCATGGCACTCGGGACTTTTTGCCTGTGCTGTTTGCATATTAGCTCCTTGACTCACCGAAAAAGATGGCACATCGTCATGGACATCATATATATCATTGCTCCTCCAACACACTGTTTAGGCTCCCACAGATGTTACGTCCATACCTTTTTTCCCAAGACAGAAAGCATCTTGGAGCTACCAGTACATCTTTTGGCCCTTCTTTCTCGGGGTTAGAAAATCCAAGACCTTTTCCTGAAGGGTCCCCTGTCCTACCTCTGCCTCAAATACCCCAAGTACAACTTTTCAGATATCTTCTCCAAGAAGCTGAAAGCCTGAGCCCAGTCTAATTTCTCCTTGGGTTCTCATTAGGCTCATTACAGCCTTGCCTAGCTTGCTGCAATTTTCTGCTGATCAACGCAGTCTCGATGGACACACCCTTCAAGGAAGCAGCAGTTCCTAATTTTCTTCCCTATGAGATAGCCTCCTCCCTTTGCCATAAGCCTCCTTTTTATAACTCATGGCCAGACCTGCCCCTTGCCCAGGTGTGACCAGGTAGAGCTTACCACCACCACCTTTCTCTTTCATGCTTCCCCAGAGACCTCCCCCTATGCCAGGGCCCCTAAAAGGACCAGTTCCTCCAAGACTCAGTGCTTTGACAAAGACAAATCCATTTATATTCTATAAGACAGAGAAACTAGGAAAGTGGCAATATTTTATAGCAGCTTGGTTTCTCTTCTGATGGTTTGGTATGGAGCGACAGACTCTTCTGAGGGCTTGGGGAGGTGTGTGATGGGCGTCACACTTTGTTCTTCATTGTGGTTTATTTCACAACTTCCCTGCCTGACAGATAAGTAACTAAAAGCCTGAAGACCATTACCCCTGCCCTGAAAAAACAAAACAAAACACAAAACCAAACCAAAAACCTGTCCCTGGCAAAGAGAGTGGCTGTGTTTAATTTATTGATCAATCAAAGAGAGACAGCAGAGACTCATGTGCAACAGTTGAGGGAGCAAGGAAGAGTGCAGGGTTTGAAAGGGAAAGATCAGGACGAAGGGTATGGCTCCAGCTCTCAGCATTCACCACCGTATCTGAGGAACAGAGATCCTCCGCTCCGCCTGAAGAGAAAGAGGGAGACCAAAATTACGGACATGGATTTCAGTTTTACAGTCTAACTTCACCCAAATAAGGCAATGGTTTCATGCTCTCCGAGTTATAAAGTACTTCACTTAATGTTTCACCTCTTTCATGACTTCCCAGGTTACACACTTTCTCACGTGAAAGAGATTTGGGACAAACCCCATAATTTTGGACACCTCCTACAGCCACAGTTTAAATCACTCTGACAGGGAGGATCAGCAATGCTATGAGCCTGCAAATGGGGATCTGGATTTAGTTGCAAGGGAAGGAGAACACTCACTCGGGCTTGAGATCTTCCGTGCCTGGGGGGTGACAGAGTGAGCATCGAGAGAGGAACACGGAGCTGGGGTGGATTTACTGAGGGGCTAACGGGAGCTCCAGGGCTTCCACACCAGCTGCCACCACTGTGTGTGTGCTCCAGCTCCTCTGGTTTCATGGCTATGTGGTCAGCTCTGTACTTACAAAACCGCCCTGCAGAACCGGCACTTGTTTCTGTAAGTCCTGCCGTCGGAGCCACAAATGGGGTTGAAGTCACCGTCACACGTGGGATCGCCACCCTGTTGGCTGCAGTCGAGTTGCTAATAATGGAGCAACAACAGGTTGTAAAGCTTTTGTTCCCCATATTTTTCTACATGAGTGCTTTATGTTTATTAATGTTTATGATGTGGCAAACAACAAAAGCACTTTTCAGGTGCAGGGCTCTGTTGTTCTAGCAACTCCGCAAACTCAAAGGCAGAGAAAGGCTTGCCTGGAGCAGCCTGAAGTGGGGTGAAGGCAGGGGGAAAAAAAATTAATAAATACTGTTACAAACAGTGAAAGGACTGTGTTGGTATTTCCAGGCTGGCCCTCGCATGGGCTGCCCTGTGCTGGGTCAGCAGGCTAGCAGAGGCAAGCGTGCAGAAAGCGGATGGTCACAAGCCACACGGCAGAAAGTGCTCCCACCCGAGGAATCACTGCTACCAGTAGTGCTGGTAGCATACAACCCTGCTGCTCTCCCACTGAAGGGATGAGGCATCTCTTGCTCAGCCCCTTGCCCTGTAACTGAAGGTCTGAGCACCTGCTGACTGCTGTGTTCACAGGTCAGAGGGGTTCTGCATAGCCGAGTTGTGGATTTGGCTCAATAGGCTTTGACCCTGGCACACTTTAACTGTGTTCCTCAAATCCTATTTCCAGCCTGAATGCACCAGGACAGCGCAGGCATTTGTGTTACTTAGCTATGATTCAGTGAATTTGTGTTGTAAAATGCACTGTACCAGCAGTTACGAGCGCAGATCTCCGTGCTTTACCTGTGAGCATTCTCCATCATTGCGCAGGCTTATGTCCAGCCCGTTCCTTTGGGAAGAAAGCAAGTTGACAATGAATGAGCACAGCACAGACACTTCACGAGTCAAACTACCTTGTTATGCTCTAAATACCAACACGAGCTCCTATTGATCCAGAAACCCCTGCAGTGACCCTTCACTTACGCCACAGCGCTGCAGAAGTTGCACTTGTTCCTGTAGGTGATCCCGTCGGTGCCACAGACAGGCTGGTACTCCGCGGAGCAGGGTGGCAGGAGACCAAGGCCTGGCCTATAGTAGTCAGCACAGTCGTCCTGAAACAGTCAAGAGAACAACATTTTAATCTCTGCTCCCCTTTGCATCAGTCCTGTGTAACGGAGCACAGTGCAGGGGACATCTCCCCCTCTCCCCGGAGGTGCAAGGGGAGAGGAGCTTCCAGCCCCAGCGTGGGGCAGTCAGAGGAGCATAAAATCCTGCGTGTGGGTACAGCGTGATCCTGGAGTATCTGTTTTTTCCTGTCCTGAAATGGGCCTCACCCCTATCACCTTGGGGATGTTCACCATGAATGGCACAATGAAGGATCTTTGCCTAAAATGCCTGATGCAGCAGCGTTTGCTGTGACATGTCAATGCCGCATGAAAACAGAGTTTACGCTCACCTCAATGTTTCTGCAATTACTCTGAGTGTACTGAAATGGAAGTCGTTGCATTATGTTAAACTACATAGCCAGAGTGCCTTTTTACTTTCTCTCTCAAAACTAAAAATAGAGATACTTCTCCACAGGAGCTTCATATATTGATAAACAAACTTTATGATAAATGTTCTGATAGAATAATTTTTTCTATTACAAAATTACGATTTAGTCAAAATTCAAACTTCCTCTGGGAATTTCTTAGCTTCAACATGCCTCTAAGTCTAAAGAGAAGTGTTTTGATAATGTTGAGGCATTATTGAAATTTAAAGTTTCCATTTTTTAAGTCTGGTGTTATATACAAGATAACATTTTAAAACTTATTGATTTTAACTGTTCAAACAAAATTTTAAAGAAATTCTTGCAAATCTGAAATTCTTAATTTTCATTCCACTTCTGACAGTTTGAAATTGTGTGGTTCTAATACCAAGTTAACCCTAGCTGAAGTTTCTGTCTAGCTCTCTGCCATCATTTCACCCACCACTGCTCAGCGCAGCAGCAGAAGGAACCGGTCTCAGACCTTACCGTAATACATCTTCCGTTGTACCTCTTGTCGAGGGCTTGGTTATTGCTAGAGGGAAAAAGAGAGAAGGAAAGGAAGGATTAATCTGTTGGTACCGTGTTGTCATCTCGCTCATTAAGCCTCTCCACTCATAAAGCCCCAGTAATTAATCACATTCAGGAGCTTCAGCACAGAAGACCGTGGGCATTAGGGAAGACAGAAACTTCTGAAAAATCTAGTCCACCCCACGATTAGTCACAACCCCAAAGGCTTTTGCCTGCTACTTGAACTGGCGGTGTAGGTAGGCAGGAGAGCTGATACTCACAGCATCGCTCCGCAGAGGGTGCACTCGTTGGGGTAGGTCGTGCCGTCAGTCCCGCAGACGGGGTCGTAGTCGGGGGGACACTCAAGCGGCATTTCTCCGTAAGGCTGGTACATGCCGCAGGAGGCCTGAGAAAGAGAACTCGTAATGTCTCCAGGTGGAGAGAAGGGTGTGCTTGTGTTAATCACATTTTCCCTGCATTGGGAGACTACTGTTGGTCGTTATTTTTTTCTGTCATTCCTCCATGGTGAAGAAGAGAGGGAACAAAATATGCTGTGTTTCTTACAGCAAGCAAAAGCATCTTTTCGCTGTTAAAACTTTCAATACTTTTGGCAAGCATTGCAGGCAAAAATGATCATTCCTTGGGGAATCAAGACAGGGAAGATATTTAGGCATTTATTCAATAGTTGCATAGATTTTCTGCTGGCACTCTGTGCAGTGCTGACTCTCATTCTATATTATTAATTGCTGTCTTTTTTATCATCAACATGGTAAGCTCTCTTTCTCTTATGAAGGTTTTTCCTTATTTTTGGAGAAAAGCCGTGCTATAATACTTAGGGGCACTTTTCCCTCTTCCTTTGTCGCTCACTCTCCTTTTTTTTATTCCCTTAAGCCTTCCCTGGGATACAGTGCGAGTATGAATTCTTCATCTAGACTTAGAAATCAAGACAAAATGACAAAGATCTACTACTCACCGGTTGTTGAGCAATAACAATATCTACAATAAAAACAGAGATCATAAAATATAAAAATGTACAATATCCTTGACCAAAATTCCTCTGGAATCATCAATTTCCCAATAGAGTAAACAAATACACTTTCTCACTACTGAGAAGTGATTGTTTTCCCAAATGCTCCATCTACTCCAAGTAAACAAGAGGTTATATGCTAAGATTTTTAAAAATCAATTATTTGTGAAACCAGAAATTTTGACTCACTGAAGCAGAAACAGGATGTAAACTTTTTCCTTTTGCAGCACTATTATCCCCACTAAGTCTCATCAGTTTAAATCAGACAAATGCATCCTACAGATCCATAGTATTTATCTGCACAAGGATAAAGTTCATTAAAAGACAACTTGCCTAGTACTAAATCATCACTTCTCCAAAAGGCTGAACTCTTCTTTATCATGTATATGTAAAGGCAAAAGTTCAGGAGGACTAGAGATACCAGCATAGACTGTAACAAAAACAACTTACCACAAAGGCAGTTGAGAAGCGCAAGCCCAAGAAGGGCAATGCTTCTTGTTGTCTTCATAGCGGAGATGTTTATGTTGTCTGTTACTTGCAAATCTGTCACTGTTGAGTTCAGTAGGTGGTTCTCAGCCTTCTCTCTCTGCACTATATATATATATATGCATCTCCTGACCTTATGAAGTCATCCCATAAAGTAATTATTTGCTCGGCAAACTAAGAAAATGGTATTGATTATTGAGTTGAGCCATAAAGAAAACTTGTTTGTTAGAGAGATGCCCAGAAGAATTAAACAAAATTGTGAGCTACACCCAGCTTGTTAACAAAGGCGCCCTGCTGTACAATGAGTGATTTGTGCTTTCCAAAGAAGAGCACTGTCTCAGTAGTAGATGTTGTGAAATTACGTATGGAAGTTGGTAAAGCAAAGAAAAACCACCATTTGTTGAAACTGTTGAACTTGTTCACACCATATTACATACACTGGACCATGTTTGGGCTCCAGGAGAGTTGTGTAATACACCAGGGTGGGAGGAAAGCAGCATGGGACACTCTGAGCTTTTACAGACCTAAAATCTAGGGTTTGACAGGAATCAGTGTACATCAAAGATGCTGAAGGCTCGATGAATCTCTCCACACTCTCTCCTGCGTTTTCCTGGTACACTGGATTTCTCACCAACAGGAAAGCAAAAAATCATCACATCAGGAAAGCATTACCTAAAACTTCAGAAATTTATGGAGACATTTCTATGTAGGAGCAAGAATTATTCATCTGTTGGCAATGGGCATGAGTCTGATTAAGAAATTATGAGAATAAGTAGCCTTAAATCTGAACTGGGATAATGTGTCTTCTTAATGGCAAATGAGTGGTATTCTATGCAGGCAAGATGACCTTCTTAACACTAAAGACATTGAAAAAAAATTTGCAGCAGCTGCAAAGAGAAGGTGAGACCTTAGGCTCTCCCCTTTCCCCTGTATTATATGGCATTAGATTTGGAGTGTCAGCTGAAAATCATGTTTTAAGGAAGATAAGCGAAGAATAATGTGCCAGGCTCTGTTAAGTGGTTCAACTCTATCGCAAGTGTATGGAAAAACAAATAAGGAATATTGCATAAAATAATACCTTTTTGATTTAAGGTAGTCACGGAAGGAATTGAGGGATGGAAACTGTGCTTTAGAAGAAGCTTGATACATACAGGTGGCTTAAAGGCAGCCTGAGTCTTAAAAAGAAAATTAGAATTGTTTTTCTTATTATCCTGGGAGATGTTCAAGTCTTGGCATGGGCAGATAAATCATTAAAATGTAGCTGAAAGTGTAAGGGAACTGTAGTCACAGAATAGAGCTTGCAGGATTTGGCCTGTTCATATCAATGAAATCGTTTTCCTGAAAAATAAATGAGTAATGCTATTTGGATCCCATTCACAAATATCAGGAGTTGAAGGGTTCCTTTGAAAGCTGTTTCTGTTGTGCTCTTAGCATCCTGAGTGACTTGACTTTCAGATTCCTTGAACTGATTGTGAGCATATTTGGAATGGGAGCAATAATCACAGAAGCATTAATGTTAATTATTCTCCAGGGGCAAGAATGCCTAAGCCCGAAAATAAGGTTTCCTCAGAACCCACACCAGCCACCACTGGAGAGGGCACTTGCTGGATCCGGGGTGGTTAGCGAGGCTTACAGGAATGTGGTCTGCCTCCTCTCCAGCCCTGCGACCCGAGCTTCTCCATCCCCACCTCCAGACCCGAGATCCCCAGTTACCAGAAGCTGTGTTGCTTCTCCAGTTGCCTCTCCCACCAGGCTGAAATCATGCTGGTCACTCAGGAGCTACTGTGAATGGCAGGGTATCTTCTAGGGAGCGGCATCACGCTCGTGTTTGGCCAACACCTGCCCTTTGATTAATCAGATCTGCTGTATCCTCCTGCACCCGGCTTCTGGGGGTCTGGGTACTCCCCAAGGACCGCTCCAAAAGCGGCTCTTTTCCTTCAGGAACCCCTGCTGCTTTGCAGGGCAACAGGGAGAAAAAGAGAAGCAAGAGAAGAGTCTTGCTAGAGGGTCTGTGGGAAAGGATGGGAGATGATGGGTAGCAGTGAAGGGCAGGGCAGGGAGAGCCGCTGGGCTAGGTGTGACGGGCGATTGCACAAGGTGCTCCATTAGTAAGAAACAGAGGGAATGGGACAGAAGTAATTGCAAGGCAGCAGGCGGGTTGAAAACAGGCATTAGGAGGAGTCAAAAACAACTGTCTCCCTGCATTTGGAAGTGTGAGCTTTGGGAAATGTCCTACACATGTTGCAAATTGGAAGGGCAAAATGAACTCACCTGCCCAAACCCCTCCGTGATACTCATGATGGTGGGCTCAGTAAAGTGTCTTTGTTCATAGGTTTATTTTAACCTTTCTACAGATATGAGAACTACAGAAAAGTTAAAACTCTTCCTGCTATTTCAAATTCTTGGAGGGCAAAAATTCAAGGTTATGGCCACATGAATGGGACAAATATTGGTAGTCATATGATGGGCACTCTTGTATTGAGGTAAATTTCCAGTAACTCTGGAAATTCTACCCCGTTTCCAATCCAACATTATTTTTTCTCATAGCAGCAATGTTTTCCTGGGAATTTTTTCCTCTGGTCTTAAGACTCCTTATCTCAAGCAAGTCTCTAATCTACCATGACCTGAAAAATTCTTTGTGTATGTTCCCTGATTTAGTTTAAAATGTGTCACAGGCTTCATCTGGCTACAAAGAGAAATCATACTTTTTAATTTTGGGGGGGGGGGGGGGGAAATAAAAGTGGATGTGTGCATGCAAGACCACGTGCTGTTATTCCAGCAGTGATACCATTGTCCTTGCTCTGGTATCCTGCTGTCACACAGCACACTGTAATCAAGAATAAAGTGGCACCGTGCTCCAGTGTGTGCTACTGTAGAGACAAATGCAAAATGCGTTTCTTTGCCATTGACAAGCGACGTGGCCCGCTGCAAGAGCTCCCAAAGCAGGTTGCTGTTCCCAGACCTCTGCACACGGGGGCAGAACTGGATCTTCTATGAGAACACGAATTCAATTTACAGCAAGCAAAGCCCCTGCTCTAAGCTGCACTCATCTAATATTTCTCCTTGTAGTTCAGCTATCTGATTGCTGCCTGCATTATCTCCAGTCTTTTAAGAATAGATTATATCACAGGCAAGGGTGTCTGGAATAATTTGACTGTCTGGGAGCTGCATAGTAACAGCAAAAGGCTGAGGATCTGGCCCCACGCATCCCCATCCCCCCGAGAATCTCAGCTCTGCCTCACTGCAACAGTTCTGACACAGCCAGCCCCCAAAAACGGCGTTTCCAAGTAATTTTCTTTTAAAACATCATTTTATTTTTCTCCGCATCAATAAAGAAAGTAGTTACAAACCATTTATCCTGAATGAAGCCTCAGAGAGAAACTGCATTAGCAGAAAGGTCTAGACTGGCCTGAGGTATGTTCTGGCCAGCAACAAGTAGAGCAATACACTAAAACAGGAGCGTCGGGATAAAATAGAGCAGAACAAAATAACTACCTGCAATGTGTTAATCAGGTTGTGGGGTAATTGAATGGCATTTCCTAAATTCACAAACATCAGATAATGACATAAAGTGCCAAGGTGCTGCTTAAAGAGTTGTACCATAAAATACCTCAGCAGGCAGACAATGTTTCTTGCCTTGAATTTCCTGGAGGGAGAGTTAGATTAGTAACGGTGAGAGGATTTTGTGTTGTTGTGGCAGGATTTTATTGAGCAGCAACAAAAAAAAAAAAGTATTTCCAATGAGGTGTCCATAAAAGAGGACTGTCTTCCTCTCCATCCCAAGGAGCTGCTCCCTGGGACAGGGGGCTGGCGGTGCTGCTGTGGTCCTGCTCCACCCTCAGCTACTCCTGAGTAATACCGCATCACTCTGCATCGGGGGAGGATTTGTCACTGTTCTTTTCTACTCACAGTTTCCCGTTAACCGCCTGGTGGATTTTCATGTTTAGCGGACATGGTCCCAGAAGATGCCCTTGAGGACCACAGGGATCTTGAGTGCGACTGGGAGCTCCTCGTGTTTCCAAGATATCATGGCTCCTGGGGTCCATCCTCATCCTCTCTGCTGCTCCCCAGGAAGGAAAAGTGCTGGAGCCGATGGTCTCTTACCCCCGACTCTCTCGCTTGGTGGAGGGGGACAAGAAGGAGCATGAAGCCCCTGAGCCACCCAGCACTACCTCCCAGAGCCTCCATTTGTCTTGGTCCTAAGAAATTGCGTGTGATGCTGAAACGCCTTCCCGCACACAGACGTCCCTCCCACAGGAGAGACGCTCCAGCCCTGGGAAGGGACTTTGCACTAGAGGGTTGCAGAGAGTCGTGTCTTTTGGAAATAAATGTCTCCCTTCAGAGGGCTGCGCTCTCAGTCTCTGGAAAGTGACATATTGTCATTTAAGATCATTAACTATTTGACTGTGAGACTGCCGCCTGTACAGAACGCCGCACTGCCAGCGCTTCCCTCTTAATGAATAATAAATTAACGCTATGACTGAGCCCTTCCTTTCATCAGCTGAGATTTCCAGAGGCCGGAGAATCTCAAAGGATCCTCTACAAGAGACAGTCGACGTAATTACCTACAAGCAGCAGCTAAGTGGTGGGTGAGGTGCAGAAACGGGCTGTGGTAGCGATTGCTAGCAGTCCTTCGAACATCAGTCTGTTAGGACTGGTTGCCCACTGGTTCTCCGCAATACCCCGCACTGACGAACATCACAGACATGAACGTGGGCAGCCAGGTTTCTGCCTGCCCGGGGAAAACACCCTGGCCTGTTGCTTTGGGAGGGAGAGCAGATTGCAAAAGGATTTCTCGCACCTGAAGGTGTGTTTGCAACCCTGCTTGCAAGGGGAAGAGATGTAGCTGGGAAATACCCTTCTTCACCGCTTCTCTTGCGGTCATAAGAAATTGGGGCTGACCCTGGGAAGTGAAACAGGGGTGAACAGCTCTTGCTGCCAGCAAGACCCTCTGTGTCTCCACAGCTTTTGCAGAGCAGCCACAAAACACTCCCATCTGTAACGATCTTGGGAGGGGGCCTGTCAGTATTTATGTGTGTGTGTTCAGGTTTCCTCGAGGCCTCTTCATGCTGGCATACCCACCACACACTAATGCAGGGGTGAGGCAGCAGGTATTTGACAGCTGCAGTTAGGGAGGCAGATGGTTCCTCTCACCCAGAGTGTCTGTCCAGGATGCTCTTAGTGGAATAAATCTATTGGAGCATTGCACCAGGACGCATCTCCAACATTTATTTTCTTTTGGAAATCTGGATGAAGGCAGATGCCCTCCAGATCTATTCATTGCCTTTGCGGTTGGGCTTGCTTTCTTTGTAGATCAGAACAATGTATTCCCTCTCCTTGTAATTTGCCCATTAGTACCCACACCCCAGGATTGTTGCAGTGATGTAATCGTGCAACATCCTGGGTAAAAACAGAATGACACATACTATCAAAGCAAGACGTGAATGCTAAGGGGTTTTTTATTAAGCAGAGGTTTCAAGATTCATCAGGAGCTTTCAAGGTTCAGGACAAGACGTTAGGGGAGCATCTGCCATGGGGAACATCACCAGAGAGGGTTCCTCCTTCTGAGCTGAAGCCTATCGAGAAGTTAACATTCTCCAAGATATCTCAAGCGCAGAGTCCCACCACTTCTCCTGCGGAGAAAGAAATCAGTACCTTAGAGACAGAACTTCTGGGCTTTTACTGTTTTTCTCTTCCTCTGGTAAAGGATACATCATAGAACAACTTGACCAAAACAGAAAACTATTCCAGCTATTTCCTTTTATTACTAATGTTCAAAGACAAGACAAAGACTTAACTTAAAGGAAAAACAAATAGTCTGTAGGAAATAGGTTTGTTTGCTGGAAGAAAGTTCTTCAGCAAATTACTTAATATGGAAATGAAGAATTCTACTAGGTGTTACCTCTTTATACCTGAAAGAAAGGAATCCTGGGCAAATTCTCCCAATAGAATATTGACCCTTGCTACTGAGAGAACAAGCAAACAAAATAACTTTACCTCTCCAATTAGTCTCCAAGAGTGATTAGTTAGTTTAAGCTAAGTTAGTTTACCATTTAGTTAGTCAAGAGATTTAGTTTACACATACAGGTATGCATTGCAGAAAAAGCATTTGTTGCCATAGGTTTTGCCATCGGACCCGCAGTGTGGTTCGTACTCCAAAGTACAGAAATCCGAGGGTTCCACAAAGCCACTGCAGTAGCCCTGTAGATAGATGTAGTGTACATTCACAAAAAAGCTCTCAACAACAGATATGAAAAAAAGGTGATATTAGGAGACCCCCAACCACCCCCCGAGCTCCCACCAGTACTGGCCAGAAGCAGTCACTGAGAAAAAGCCACAGGACAGGGCAGGAGTATGGCGACACGTTGCTGCCAGCAATGCAGAGCCTGTGTAACCATCATAAATGCTGCTGCAGTGACTTTGACAATAACTTGGACACTAACTGAATACTGCACGACTTGTTGAAACTATCATCAGATGAAAATGGCAATTTCACCCAGTAATATCTGTGGCAAATATTGTTCAGACAGCTGGATGACTCAGGATTTTCAAATGCCCGATCACAATGTGATTAGTAAGGATTTATACAGAAACCACTTTAAGGAAAGAAACGATAGAAAATAGAAAGATCTTACCTTCCCTACCTTCTGTGCGTCAATATCTGGAAAAAAAGAAAAAAAAGAAGGAAATATGATACAAATGCAATTCATGGGTTCTGCTAGAGTTAAAATCTGTGAAGGCATGCCCTGAACACGCAACTTTGAATTCACTATTTGTTAGCAAATTACTTAGACAAAAGGAATTTCAGGCAAAATTTTGTGCCATATTCTTTGTTTACAACGTTATCTCTGTAGTATAATTTTTTTAGTGAGGGTTACAGCCAAGATGGAAAAGGGTGTACAAAACAAAAGAAAGGTATTTTCCATGGTTCGAAGGATGGAGCAGGACACGTACTCAAAGCCAAGTAAGTTATTGAGGCAAGCAGGGTCATAAAGCTGGCAAGTACACGGCGGCAGTGTGCTAGATGCATTGCCACAATAGCTCTTCAATAAGAGGAGTATTTCCTGAGGTGTAACTTTTACACAGCTTCTGCAAATGTTCAGGCTCTTGAATCACATCTCAGCTCAAGATGACTACAAGAAATGTTCACTTTCATTCAGTAGAATAATTTGCTTTTCTGCAACATTTTAGAGGTTAAATACTGGATGTCTGAGTCTCCGGGTTGTACCACGTACATGTCACTTCTTTCATTATGCATAAACTAGCGCTGAGAGTAGAGCTGTTCCCACAGTTGTTCTTACCCACTCAGTTCTGTTGCTAAAATATTACCCCATAAGTGATAGTCTTTGATGTCAAGTCTTTTCAACACTATCTTTCTAGGAGTAAATAAGTCCTTGTAGAATGAAGCTCCTTCCAGTCTGAGGATGGTTTTGTGGATTTAAAGACAGCCAGCGCTTACTGAAAGGCAGAGCAGGAGACAGGGAAGCTACTCACCTGGGATGCAGCAAAGGGCCAGACCGAGCAGCAGCAACACGCCTGCCGTCTTCATGGTGGCTGGAGCGTCCGTGCGCAGCGGAGCCTGTGTTTTCTCAGTATATGTAGCCCAAATTCTGCCCTCAGGCGGTTAACCATGCTTATAGGTGCATACGCACGTGCGTGTGTGTTTGTGCACATTCATGTTTGGCTCATCCACCCTCAGTCGGAAGTAACATTCCTGGTCTTTTGGCAGGGTGGCAATTTCGACAGAGGTAAGCCACGCTGTAAGCCAGGAAGAATGTTTCTTCATCAACGGGAGCGTCACAAGAAGTTTAGATACGTTAGGTACATCCTCTGTGTCGTTATTTCCAGTGAAATATGTGGCAGGGCTGCAGGGAGGAAAAATCCTGCTGGCAAAAGAGCAACTGTGCAAACCTCAGCAGCGACTGCTGGCAGATTTTCTCTGTGTGCACCTACCATGCAGTGCTTTTGCATGAGCAAAATATTGAATGAACGGCTTCCACTGCAGGAAGTCTCTACTTTTGTTTTCATGCTTCACCCCAGTAAAGCATTGTTAACGTATAGCAAAACCAGGCAAACAGTGAACTGGGCAGGCAAGCAAGAGGGTGTCCCAAACACCGAAGGGAGTCCTTAGGCTGGACAAGAGATGCAGCAATGTTTATGGACATATGCAAAGAATTTACAACCCTTATTTCATGTAAAAGCCACTAGCATTGTGAGTTAGATTTGCAGTAATGGACTGATAGGCTGATGATGACAGAATGATGCGAGACCCTAGCATGGATCCCAGAAAAGTTGAACCCGATCTAGAAATGACTGCCTCATCCATCTGCCCATCTCAACACAGATCCTTTGTTTTACCACCAAAGCATTGCTATTTTGGACAACCTCATTCCATCAAGGAAAACAAGCACTGCACTCCCTTTGGCTCCCAGAAGAAATGCGTATGGGGGATATTACTTTTTAGAAGGGACATGCCCAGTTTATTTATGTTTCTCTTGTGTGGAGCAAAAACACTCCAATTCAATATCCCAACAGAGGACAAAAGCAAAATAAATTTCATGGACAATATGTCAATGACAGGTCACACTCTCAAAAAACAGGATACTTTATCCTTGGATTGTGAAACACTGCTGAAATACTCCTTGGGCTGGCAAAGAGTATTATGTTATTAAAGACTAGGAGAGAAGACAAGTAGGCAGGAGTAGGAACCATCCCTAGGAGAGCATTTATATTAAAACACTTGGAGGTTTTTAAAGGACAAATTCAAGATGAGAAAATCGTAGAAACATGTCAATTGGAGGACCCAGACAAATAGGCAGGACCCACTCATGTATGAAAACAATGGGCTTTGGTAACAGGCTGCCTTGCAGAATGCTGTGCTTCAGGTAAGGGCTGTGCTCAGGAAGCCAGGGCTCAGCTCGTGGTGCAGACACAACCACAACCTGAACAGGTTTTGCTGATGATGCCTGCACAGGGACTACCTTGGGAGAGATCGGCTAGCGCCATTGCTTCAGAGCAGTATTTCAGCCCTTTGCAATGTCAAATGTCTAAAAGGGTCTGAACATTAATGCAGGCTGACTATCATTTATGTGCAAAGTCACACAGCTCTGAGGTTTATGCATCTGTGTTTCATTTTCTGCCTTTTATGAGAGGTAGGGGAGCAAGATGCTGTTATATCCCAGAGCTATGAGCGCATAACCTATTCAGCCTGGCATCATCATTCAACAAATCAGAAGAAAATGTTTCATGAGGCAACACATGAAACAAGACAAAGAAATGTTGCTGATTTCGTTTATTCAGAAAGAAAATCAGAAGTGAGCTGAGTTCCCCAGAGGGCAAAATGCACTGAGGTGAGATCTTTAGCCAAGATTTGGCAGTGGGGATCCCATGGTCAATTCTCTCGGCATTTTCCAAAATGGCTTAAAGTGAGAGTCCCGTTGCTGTCCCTGAAAGCGAGGAGAGGAAAAAATGGATTAGACACAGAGTTCTGCTTGCTACAGTCTGTCCTTTTGCTTGGCTCCTAGAACAGGCAGCAGATAGGATCCTGTCCCAAAGCCAAAGGACTCACAGACTCAGAGTCCCATCAGCTATTTGATTATTAACAGATGAGTGAAATGATTTAACCCATTCTTTAGACTGAAAATATTTTGGGACAAACTATAATGAGACTTCAAATTTAATTCTCTTTGCAGCAGGCAAGAAAAATTACATTAAGGTTAATGGTCTTCGAGCCATTCACATTAACAACCCAGATATAGCTCTTCTTATGCCCTAATGGAAAAAAAAAGAACCGTCAGCATGATGGCTAGTATTCTCTCGTGCCCCAAATTCCAAATCAACACTGGTCAGCAAACAAAAAAGTGGCAACTGTGCAGATTTGTGCCTACAGGGGACAATTGATAACACAAATGTGATCCATGTGTGTACATACACGACTGCGTTGCAGAAGTTACATCTATTGCTGTATGTTTTGCTGTCAGAACCACAGAGTGGCATCTCCTCAAGTGTGCAGACAGGTTTCGGGTAGTCACTGCAGTCAACCTGAAAATAAAAAAAAAAGGCTAATGTGAAGGGTATGAAAGAGTCAATAGCAGAAGGGCTTGAACCCCTACCTACAGCTGCAGTGCTGATGATAACAATCTCACTAAAAGTCATTAACTTCCGTGCACAATCTGATATAAGTGAGGTATCAGTTTTCTCCTATGCCAGAAGAATTTAATAATATAAAAATAGATCATAATTTCCTGTTTGAAGCAATTTACATCATAACCCAACCACAGCATTTCTAAGCAGCAGCAGTTCACTCTGAACGTGCCATGCTCGTGATCACATTGCACCGTGTTCCAACCTGGCCAGGAAATTAAATGGAAAAACACTGGTGTCTGGAGAAACATTGTGCTGAAGCCTGTATAAGGGTCCAGCGTCTCTCCCATAGTCTTAAAATGGGAAGATCTGCACTCAGCTAGATACTGTGAGAGCAGGCTTTTGTTTCTTTGTGCAATAGGTACTACGCTTGCTGAGAGGTATCGTCATGCAAAAAAAATGTATATGGGTCCAGGAAGAGGCTGAGGAATTTAATGGTGGAGAAATCCATCAAGGCTCACTGATTACACAGAAATCACACCTAGCTGAAGTCCATCACCGGAAAATAGCTGGAGGCTGGAAGAGCAGAAGTCCTATACATACTCACACTACTCTTACTCTCTCCTACACAATCCTTACAACCCCTGCTGAGAGCAGACTCTGCATCAAGCCATCATGGGCTTGACGGACCATTGGTCTGACCCCAAAAGCCGTTCTCTGTTCTTATTCTCAGCTCTGCCCTGATAGATTATTTCTGCTACTACTCTTTTGCTGATCCCTTCTTGTGCAGTCACCCTCTCCCTTTTCTGACGTTAGTGAGGATAATGCATATTACGTGTGGTGAAAGCAAAGCCTTCCCTGTGCTGAAGCGCAGCAGCAGTGACACTCCCATAGGATGCTGCTGGGGGCTGCTGCAGCCACTGGCAGTGCTTCCCCTGACATCAGTGGGACCCAAACCCCATCCCTCACCACGCAGTTCACTTACTGTAGTAATTTCCCTCTTACATCCACCGTCATGGTTCTTGCCAACACTGGTTCCAGACTCTCTGGGAAGGGAAGACACCCACGTTAGGGAGCTCTGCAAGCAATACCCCACATCCCAGCAATACTGGTCAGCTGCAGGTACAGCGTATAGGACACATGTGACATCCAGCTTAGGTTGTGTCCACATGGCTCTAGATACCAGACCAGGTGGTGCCACAGTCTGTGGGAGTGCTGCTTTATAACTGATGGGAAGGACAGGGGAGGGTCTGGGGTGTCAGGGTGAATGAGGAGCTAGGTTGTGTGACAACGTAGATGCACCTTGGGTTAGTCGCTGACCTCTGCGAGGCAGCATCTGCCACATAGAGCCTTTTAACTTAGTTAAGAGAAGCATTCTGTTCCGTGTTAGAACCCAGCCCTTCACTTCTCTCCCTAGATCAAAGGCAGTTTTCCTTCTAATCACAAAGGAAAACAGGGTCTAGTAAAGAGGATGGTCAAAGTCCAAGTGCCTTACAGAAAAGGCCTTGGTAGAAGTGCTGATATTCAGAAGAGCAGCTGTGGGGAGTGCTAAGCACTCGTTGTGCCTCACAGGAGAGCCCTGCACACGCAGTACTCACAGGTTATGGGTACACAGCAAACACTCGTTGTCGTAGGTGACCCCGTCGGTACCACAGACAGGGTTGAGGTCTTTGTGGCAGAGCAACACTACTTTGCCATCCTCACTTGTCGTGTTGGGATATCTACTGCAGTCCACCTGTTGAGGGAACACACAACAAAACACTGGTGAAGGCTTGCTTATAGGAAGCAAGTAGATCTCGTGAGTTTGTCTGTCTGGCCACCTAGGATGCCACCACAGCAGGGAAAATGTTTTTTTGTGTATCACCATGATGACAGTTCACTTGAAGATGACCAATGCAAGATTCTGACATCTCGTATGTCTTCTTATTTAGTATTTGAGTTATTTCTTGGGATAATCAATAAGCAGCTTTGGCTACTCAGAAGCACGACTTTCCCCTTGGTTTGCCCTTCGTTTCACTTACAGGGGCAACTTCCTTGCATTCTCCATCATGGTCTTTGCTGACATTGGTTCCATATTCTCTGGAGAGGAAAAGACAAATGTTAGGAAGTTCAGCAAAGACGTCTTGCTACATCCTAGGTGCTGGAAATATGTAAGTAATACAAGCAAAAGCTGACTCTCTATCAATCAGGCTTATATACGTTTTTCAGAAGGTAGTGCCATCCTCCCTGACTAGCTAGCACTGAATGGCTGGCAGGGATGTACAGACCCCAAGAGCTTTAGGACCATTTTGGGCAGTTCAGAGCAGAGCATCTCTCCATCCTTTTGCTCTGCTTTGCTGTGATGAGACGTGCCCTAGGGGCTGTCATCTGGCTGATCCTTGAGCTGGAGAAGAAAAACCTGAATAAATTACACTAGCAAAAGAGAGACACGGTGACTAAAGTGATGTCTAGGCAACGGACTGCCGCACAGTGATACCCAAGCTCATTTTGAAGGAATTGACACAAGTGACATATGACAGATCACTGTTTGTTGAAAAGTGGTGCTGCCAGGAGTCCTAAGCATTGCAGACCAACATCGCCTACGCAGCACGTACTTATTGTAGGCACAGAGCAGGCACTCGTTGCTGTAGGTTACTCCATCGGAACCACAGATGGGGCTGAGGATCTCGTTGCAGGCCAACACCTCTCTGCCATCCTCGTTTGTAGTGTTGGGATACGTACTGCAGTCCACCTGTCAAAGGAACGTACAGCAGCAGGGTGGAGAAGACATTTTCCATTCACAACTCCCATTTTGCACAAGACAGTGACCAGATACAACCTGCAGTGGGTTTTTTGCTACAAACTTGGGCTGGTGGGGAAATCCAGTAACAAGTGAATCAATCCTTCCTGCAGAGACCTCCCTGCACAGCAGTAGAGGAGAAAAAGGAGAGGGCTACAGCCATCCAGTCCCCCGGATGGGGCAGATCAGTGGTGGTCTCTCATGCTCACTTGATATCGTTTTACAAAGGCTAAGCATTGGTCCCTTGTTCTTATTCTTATGGTCCCTCCAGTGCACTTCTGCAATTACTCTTTCATTCTCAACACACTTTTTTTTTTTTTTTTCTTTTTTTTCTTCAGAAGAACAAGTCTAATGACCTGGTCTGTAGAAGCTGAAGCAGCTCACAGTATTTTATTCTTTCAGCAGGTTGCCTTTGGGTAGGTTCTGATACCACAGTCTACTGCTATCAGTTTAGAGCCAGTCATACCTGACCAGCTTAAAGCTCAGACCAGTTTGAAGTTGGTGAAAAATTAATTCATCCAAAAAAATTTGTATCATTACCACTACTACATTATTAACGTGCAGCATAGATGTAGAGCCAAGAATAGAATAAATCTAATGTTTTACAGTGTAAAATCTCATTACAATGACATTAATTTCGTTAGGTGAAAAACAGTTAAGTACCTACAGGCCTGAGGTTTTTCTCACTCCTTTTGTTATTACATGTTTATCAATTGTCTTTACCAGGCCACATACCTGAGAAAAGTGACAGAAAGAAATCTACCACTCACCTCAACCCCGAAGGCAGCATCTGGAAAAGAAAAGAGAGGCAGAAAATGTGAAACAAAGCTCATATGATAAGATCTCAGTTAAAGCTGGAAATCTGGATGTGAAATTCCTGTATGCAGGACCAAACTGAATGATTTCCAGTGACTGGTTTCCTGAACTAAATAAACTATGTATGACTTTTTTTTCTTATGCTGATAAGTATAATAGCATTGCTTATTGATGGCTGTGATGAAACATGTTTTTGAATAGCTTTGTTCTTTTTTTTTATTTTGAGATAAACTTGTTAATTGCAAATAGAGTAACTTTTCCTTCCTTGTCTTTTTACACATCCGTTTTGACCCTAAAGAGCTGCTGTTACATATCTGAAAAGAAACCTGAGTCAATACAGATAAATGCAAATGCAAACAGTCACTTACAAGATAAGCAAATACATACAGCATCCGTTGTCAGGAATATGCATTTTAAAGAAGCTGAGTGTGAAAAAAAAATTGTCTTTGGCTTTGTAATTCCATCAGATGTAAATATTCAGCGAGAACTTCAGACTCTGGCTTGTTTTCATCTCGTTTCTCTGTTAGCAGCAAAAGTATTGCGGGACAGTTGCTAGGTTTCTGCGCAGAACTTGCTTGTTCCATTACAATATTGTTGTGACTAGATCCTGGAGGCCTGACCACCTCGTCACGGCCTTGGTTCAACTATTTATCCATCGCTGTAGTTGTACAACAAGCGTAAGCAGTGCAACAGCATTAAAACAACAGTGTAAAAAGTGTAACAACGCTACCAGCACAGAACTCCACTTGCAGTTGTTTGTATTTACATCAGTCAACCAGCTACAACAATGAGCTGTTTCAGACTGTCCCGAAATCTGCCCCTGCATCCCGTGCGATGCTAACGTACCGAGACAGCCTGTCTCTTTGCAGTAGGGTGATTTTCTCTCTTTGAAGCCACTATCTTATCCTTTTAAAGACAGCCAGGACTCAGACACAAAGCCTCTGCGGCACCGTAAGAGTTACTCACCTGGGAAGCAGCAAAGCACAAAGGACAGGAGCACAAACACACCTGCCGTGGTCATGGTGGAAGTATTTCTCGAGGCTGCCGGCTGCCTGCCCGTGAGATGGTCTCTCCAAGGCTGACTGCAAATATATACAAATGCAGTGTCTAAACTGTTCAACTGTAACATAAAACAACCAGCAGAATCTGTCACCGGTACAATGAGGCTGGTAATATTTATTGAGGTCTTGACTTTCAGGTAATGGTCTGCATCTGCTGGGCAATTGATTTTGGCTGGACATCTGGTTAATAGCTTGAGACAAGCATCACATGTTCTCAGTGGTCAAAACCAAACAAACAGCCTTTTGGACAAAAGAAACCTCTTTAGGATTCTAGCAGAAATGCAAGGAGCACAAACCATTGAGGGGAGTAAACAGCAGGTCCTTCATTTGTCTCTGCAGAGCAACGTCTCCCATCAGGGAGCCGCTCGGGCAGAGCATGCAGTACTGCCGTCTTTACAGACCAGGCTAAGAGTCTCTGCTTTCCTTTCTGGTTTTGGGTAGGGTTTTTTTCCGCATTCCCAGATATTCACCACTGGGTATGAACATGGGTCAGGTGTGGCATTGCCATTAGCTGAACTGGTTAAGCTTTGTCAGGCGAGTCTAGCAGGACTGTGTCTAACTGGTGAAGCTAATGGTGTCTAGCACTGATTTGATAAAAGAAAAGGCTTCTTGACAGTTTCACTGCCCGGGTATAGAAGAGCTCAGTAGAAGATTTGAAAGCAGGTTAAATTCTGTCAAACACCACTAAAAATGTCACCTGAACCTTATCAGCAGGGAACACTTATTTACAGACCTAGTCACAGTTAAACACACCGACCCATTCAAAGCGTTCCACCAAGCCATCTTGAGAACAAAAGACACTGAAGGTTTGGGAGCCTATTTACATAGCACCAGCTATGCTTGAAAGCACAGTAATCCTTTCCCCCTACACGTATTTTAGAACATTATACTTAAAACATAGAGCCTGTCCCAATATTCCTGTCTCGTACCTCCAGCCTTCATTCCACCTCCTAACGGCTCCTTCCTAGGAGGAGGTCTGGATCTCTGCTGGTTTAGCAGCTGAAATTTTACAGGAGTGGGTTCTGCCTTTAACCTGATATTCTCACCATGATCCCTTTCCCAGGTCCAAACTGTCAAGCATAGCTGGGATTTTTTTGGTCATGGGAGCAAATACTTTGATGTTTAAATGTCTGAACTGCATAGTGCATGGAATCACCCGTCCTGGGTACTGCCACAAGGCCGAAGCACGGCTACGTGGACATACAGGTTATATTTACCTAAAAGAGATGGGTTTCTTCACAGGGAGAAGCATTAAAATAATTATACTGCTAGGTTTGTTTCTATAAATTACAGGGAGCCTGCATTAATATTTTAGATGCATTTGGCACATCTTCATGATGTATTACCCTAATGTGCCTTGCGGATGGCATCTCTGGATTTTCCCCAAGCGCGTACAGGAGCAGGCTGAGGCTGCTGTCACGTGCCACGCTTGTTGCCTTCATCAGTTCTCCCCGCAGCTGGGGGGTGGGTACATCATTCTGGATCAAATATGAACTTTGCCACTGTCTTCTCCAGCCAGGCAGCGAGACCTCTGCGAACCCTCCTCCCCAGCCTTCCCAGCCCCATCCTGGCAGCTCTTGGCAGGTTGCCTCCTGCCTGGTGCCCATGTGCTGCTCCCTGCCCTGGACAGTGCTGTCCTCTAGGCAGGACCGACCTTTCTCCTGATGGATGGAGAACATCTTCCTGCCAAAGACTGCTGTGTATTGCCTGTATACACCAGAGAAAAATTTCCCAATGTAACCACTGGGTTCAGCACTGGTTCTGGCACTTACTGGCCCTGAGCAGCCCAAAGATTTCCTCCGACCACCACAACACCTATTTGATATTCAGCAGATATGTTCCTTTGGCGCCCAAAGATTTCCTCCGACCACCACAACAGCTATTTGATATTCAGCAGATACGTTCCTTTGGTCTCTCACACAGACAGTCTAGGGAGACTCAAGTCTGCAACAATTAAGAGCTGACCAGGGAACAGCGGTCTCTGAGCCACTCAGGTACCCCCCCTTCAGGTAAACCACAAAAAGGACACCAGAAATCACCAGGTTTCGGGCTCACGCACAGCCTTCAGCCAGCCAACGTCCACAGACTCCCCACCCGGGGTTACAGCTCCAGATTATCCTGCCCCTGATAACAGCATGGAAAAAATCCCACAGCTGGCTCAGCTCCAGCTGTAGGACAGGTTGCTCAGTTCTCAGCTACTCCTGGAAGAACAGTGAGACAGAGGATTTGGTCTGCGATCCTGCCACTCATCACATGTGGTAATCCACTTCGTTCTGGTCTTCTAATCCTCAGAGTCAGATGCAGCATATGGCTAATGACCACTTGCCTAAAGGGAAATCTGCGTGAGTGCAGAAGCCAGCACGAGGGCAGAGATCTGCAAGGGAGCAAAGGCACCACCACATATTGGGGTACCACATATTATGGTCCTGAGCACCAGCGGCAATGTGAGTGACAGAAGGGCAGGATTTATCCATTATACAACATCCCCTTTCACTTAGCCAAGGATTTTTTTTGTCTTCATTTCCTGTTACAGTTCTGCCAGCATAAATTTCACATTCTCTGTAAGAATCAAAACCGATATTGAGAAATTTTCTTAGCAGGTATATGACTTCTCAGTGTAAGTAATACACTGATAAATGAATGACAAATCATTTAATACACTTTCCCAAATATTCATGAGTTTTTTCTCACATTAATTAACAAATAGCTATTGTAAAAGTGAGAAATAACAATAATTAGTGTAGCTGTTTAATCACTCCAAAATGCCTGCTAAATACAATTCGAACTGCAGTTTCCATCTTTGCCTTTCTCTTGGCCGCAGTGTGGCCAATAACTATCTGTACCAAGCCACGTGCCTGGAGAAACTGATACAAATGGAAGATCTGCCTCTCACCTAGTGCCCGAAAGCACCCTTTGAACTAAGCAATAAAGCAAACAAAGCCACTGATATGATTAAAACATATTGATATGAAAACATATCCATGTGTTTGTGAACTTAGCAGAGAGAGTTTGATTCAAGTAATGCCGGTGGATGTTTTCCTGAACTGGTAGTACCATGTGCAGAACTTTGCACCCTGCAGCTGAAAGCTAACAAGGTTTCACATTACTTGTGTGATGAATTAAATGTACTTGTCCACACTGCAAGACCAGATGTCGACACATGGGAGCAAGGCCAGCAGAGGCCAGCAGGTTGGCCAGGTGCTGGAGCACAGGGCACTCAGGGCAAGCTGGGGGAGCTGGGCTTGTTCAGCCTGGAGAAGAGATGGCTACGGGGGATTATGTTGCTCTCTGCAGCTCCCTGATGGGGTTAGGGAGAAAACAGTGCCAGAGCCTTCGCAGAGCTGTACAGCAAAAGGATTAAAGTCTGACCAAATGTAAGGAATTCTTTGCCACAATGGTGATCAGGCAGTGGCACAGGAACCAGAGAGGCCATATGTGTCTGTCCTTGGCAATACTGAAAACCCAGCTGAACAACGAAGGCCTTGAGCACCTTCAGCTGACTTTGACTTTGGCCTTGCTTTGAGCAGGGGTTGGGCTAGAGACCTCTAGGGAGCTCTTCCAACCTGGATTATTTTATGTATACGGTACTTACATAATGCTCTCTCCTATGGATAGTTTTTATTAATGAAGGAACATAACTTCTCCATGACCCAGGAGAGTAGCTTCAAAGTTTTCCTACAACCTTTGCTAAAGGGCCACAGGTAAGTGGTACGAAGAGCTCCCAGCATATTTTTATAGGGGATGACCAGTAACATGTACAACAAAAAAGAGTAGATTGTAATAATTGTTTAAAAGAAACCACACTCAACTATTCAAATTTGAGAACATTCTTAGCTCTCAATGATTTCAAAGTTTCTCAATTTCTGCAATAGCCCAGGCTCTCTACCATCACAACATACCCCCAGAAGAGCATCAACATTCAAACCTACAGCAAAGTGACCTACATCACAAAATCAGCTGCCAAAATAGCACCCCTTCACGGCTGTGCTGCAGCCTGGACCAGATGCAGGTCTCAGCAGCATCCACTCCGAGGACATGCCCTCAATTCTCACCTTCACCAGCTTGTGCCTTGGTCCAGCTCTGGATGATGAGGACGTCAAGTGAGCGCTCCATCGCACAGGGCAAGAGTTACGTGAAAGCAGGAAAATACTAGAATGAATAACAAAAAAAGGAGGCACTAAACAGCAGAACAGTTGGCCAACCAATGGCCCAGGCTGTTACTCTTCGAAGTAAACATACTGCAGGGAAGGCGGTTTGGAGATAATGCAGGAAATGTTATCCCGCGGCTGGTCAGAGGAAGAGGAAATAATTGTTTTAATCAGTTTTCCTGACACTTCAGTGATTTCAGCTGCACATCACCGAGTCTTTGTTTCATCTTTGCCACAGCCCAAGCAGGAACAACGAGGTGGCAGCTGGGGAGAAGTAGCAGCTGACCTGGAGTTGACACCATTCATGGCTGCCTGGCAGGAGAAAGTCAATCTGGCAACTTCACTGCTAAGGCTGGGAAAGTCTCCTTCAGGAGCTGTGGTCAGGAGAAAATCTTCCAAAGGTAGAAAAAAAATAATCAGCAGATTCTTATCAGCAAGTAGACATTATTTATAGCTCAATGTATAGTTAAAATAGAATAAAAATATGCATGTTCTGCCATGAAAGTAAATTGCTTTGAGGTTATATAAACCAGGGGAAGAGTAGAACATATCTCCAAAGGACAGCAGATGAGGCATTTTCAAGCTGCCTGTTATCTACTAGCACGCACGTCACCAGAATAGCACACGGCAGGGGGATTGTGGCGTGTCCCTTGGACTTCAGACAGCTACACAACCCACCAAAGAGTGACATTGCCAAGAGAGGCGTATAGGCAGAAGATATTTTAATTGACTAACTAGCAGGGTTGGGAAAAGTAACTTGGTATGACTGGGATGAGTAATTGCTACATGCTACCAAGCAGCAAAGAGGAGTA